CTTTTGGCCTAGAGACTGCTCACTTGCCACTATGTCTTCTGCTGCTGCCTACAGAAAAAAACACGACAGAACCACCTCAATGGAATTACCCATTACTCCTATAACGCACACAGACGGACTATGGGAAGACTGCACTGTATACTCACCCCATCAGACTGCAGATCCACCTGCAAACCCTTCCGTGCAGAGCCCAGGTCAGGCCTCTGCCTCACCGGGGTGCCCCTAACACCACTCCTTGGGGTTCCCTCTACCCGCGAGCTGGGAGTGCCATATGTCAGCGGTGAACTAACATCAAACTCAAGAGGAACGGCTATAAAGGCAAAATACGAAGTTTACTACGACATTCTGGTAGCATATCAAACACGAAATTACAGCATGTTGTTTGTTGGTCTATATCATCTAAACATGATAGCAAACTGGACGTTTATTGCACCGTGCTGGCTGAGATTCTGAGGACTGTTAAATGTTCTACAAGAAAAGCTGCTTTCTCTGCTCACTCGGCCCTAACACGCACCGCCTCCGCTCCGTGCTCTAACTGCAGAGAGGCTGCTTTGGGCGTATGTCAACTGCCCTCATCAAGCCAGCAAACCCGGCCACCGAGCTCCACCACAACAGCAGGACCTAGGTCTTCAGCAACGTACCTGAAGAATGCACCTGCGGGGGGCTGGAAAACAGCGCGTCTTGCGCCGCGGGGCTCTGCAGGTCCGCTGTGGGCGAGGTGGGCATCGGCTGCAGCTCTCCGGTGGAGGTGGGGTCCTCGCCTCCGCGTCTCGGAGGTGGAGGCGACCTGGCGTCCTCACCTCGAGCTGTGCCACATAAACAGAAAAGACGGCTGTTGGCTCTCCTGCCTGGTCTTCCTGGATTTTTCTCCTGGGGCACTTCGACCACCTACCGAGCAAATGCTAAACAAGACCGAGGCAAACGAGCGCCCGCCCCGCGCCAGGCGGCGGCGGGAGAAGGAGAAAGCGGCGGGGACCACGGAATGCCGGCGGGCAGGGGGGTCTCTGGTGGGCTGGAGGCTCCGGCGGGCACGAGGGACCTCCGCCAGGCTGGGGGACTCACGCGTCTGCGCGGGGGCGGGCCGTCCACGCCTGCTGCCGCGGCGGCTCGGGGTCGACGCCGGGGACGACATGGTGCTCGGAGTACCAGCGCGACAAGAACAGGCTCCGCGCCGCGCCCGCCCAGCCGACTCGCAGTTACCGGGGAAGGACGGCCGACTGCAGACGCTGGCGAGCTCCTAGCCCGCCCGGCGAGTCGCGCTGCCGGACTGTGGCTGCGCGGCGAAGCTTTCCCGCCGGCGGCACGGTCGTCATCGCCCCCGGCGGCGACTCACCAATCACAGCGGCGCTCTCGCGTGGCTCCGCCTCCGGAAGGCGCCATTGAGCACCGACAGGGGGGACTGAACGGCCTCTTAGGCGCCCTCTGGGAAAGCAAACGCAGGCCTCTCTCGGTCCCCCCTCAGCTCAGATGGTCTGACACCCTTCCCCACCGCAATTTGGCGGGAAATCTGGGGAGTCGGCTCAGACCATGTTCTCAGAGGGGTGTTCCTCACTGTGGCGTTGGCTGAGGGGAACGCACCTCTTTATCCTTGAGGCGCTTTTCCCTTCTGAAAATATTCCAAATGCGTTTTTCACTCTTTATTGAGGAAGAAACTTGCAGGTCTTGACCGAAACCCCTAGCTTGTTTTCTGCCTCTGCTATTTGGTCAAGTCCAACACCGAGTAGCCTCCTCTTTGTTGCCGCAGGTCAAACCATTTGATTCCTAGTTCTCCTTAAGTTTACGTGTATGCATGCTCGGTGTACTACGTGCTACACGTGCATGAGTCTGCGGTGCGTTAACTCAGGCCTAGGACCCCGCGCCCCGCGCCCCCTTCCCGTCTCCGTCTTCCTCCTCCCCTCCTCCAGCGCCCCGCCC